GATTTCACAGAAGGTAGAATATATCCTGTTTTAACAGTTTTAGAATTAGACAAAACAATTGTTGTCCAATTCAGTTTTGTATTTTAATACAAAATTCAAATTTAAACTTTGTTATTAATTACTGTTTGTTATTTTCTTATTTAAACTTAATATCAATAAACTTAACCATTGCCGGTCTTTGTCCCTAACAAATCTTTTTGCTTTCTTCCTTCCTTATACACTTCTCTCTGGGTACCATTTCTCTGCATTAGGGAGGGAGTCAAAGTCATTAATGTTGACTAACTTTTTTCTAAATCATGTTTATAAATCCATAATTTCTCTGCTTGCCAGAAATTTTCTTGTCCTTTTATTTCTTTATCTTCTGAAAAATATGCACTATCATTCCATAGAATCTTTCTGTTATATAATATCTTTCTGTCCATAGAATTTTTCCTGCTCTTCTCAGCTCAGACTGTCATCATTCTTCTCCTCTTATTCTTCTACAACTAAAATTATTTTTTCTGTAATTTTGCTTGAATTTCATATAGCCTATATAACCCAATCTCAAAATTATAGAATAATTCTGAATGCCAAGATGTACAGTGTAGAATTTGTTAGATAATATTGTCAGCTTTTGTTGCTTTTTCTAACTGATAGAATGATGCTGATTTCATATCAAGTATTTTAACGACTATTTTTGTAGATATGTAAAATATAACACAAACATTATGATAGATTATTAGCACAGTCATCTGAAAATGATAGAATATGCTCATTCTGGTAATTTCTAGACTAATTTGCATAAACCTACAGTATTTCTGTGTCACAGCAGAGGATCAACCAATAGTACGCCATGATTATACTGTATTATACTGTGTAATACTGATGAGACATTTTTGAACAGTGAAGATGAAAAGGTCAAAGAGCCTGATTGCTGAGCTTAAGAAGCCAAATTATCATTTGTCATGAAGAAAACAAACAGAATTTTACAGCAGAAGAATTACATTTATCGAGGGAGTGTATCTAAAGTCATTTCAGAAGTATATCAAACATTGCGACACCAACATGTATATAGAAACATAACCAAACAATTGCCTTAAATAATCATGTTATAACTCCATTAATTTAATGATTAATACTAAGTAATTTGCTACTAGAAGTAGATGTTAGGTGCCATCTCTTAATTAAATTAGTAATTATAATTTTAATAATTTATTAAATAATTTAGAATCATCTGGAAGAAAAGAATTTACCCAGGGCAGGGCTTGAACCCACAACATACACTTGCCATGCAGTGCATTTGCCAGTTGCACCATCTTGACCCTGAGCAAGCCAAACCTCAACAACATCGCCGAATCCAAAAACATTAGACGCAATCTCTACTACAAAGCCATATCCGCCGCAAAGTCGCATACCAGTAAGAATATCCTCTCCCACGTATACAAAAAAAGTACGGTTAAAGATTAATCAGGTTAAAGATGATCGCGCCAAAGTGCAAAATAATTAGAAAGTATAACAACTGCTAGGTAGCAAAAGGGTATTGACTGGCTGAGAAAAAACATTTATATTTACCTTTAACCACGTGTCCATGTATTTTATTTTAACTGCATAACGCAAATAGAGAGAGAGAGTAAAACCGAATCTGTATACTAGTCATTAAATAAACAATAATAATCTTTGTTTTCATAACTTGTATTCCTATTACCAACATGGAAACAGGAAAAAGAGAGAGAGAGAGTAAAAGTCCGACAGTTACCCATTTATGTTCTTATATCACCATATAAAATCGAACTTGTACCTTCACAAACAAGCCCGATTTTCAAAAGGCCGGAGTGATGTGAGGTAGCAGAAATTCCTATATTAGAACTAGACTTTAATATTAATATTGTTCGAGTTACGTAACAATTGTTGTTCGTAGCTACCTGAGAAAGTTTCCCATTACATTTTCTCGAAGGCAACACGACGCTTTCTCACGATCTTTTAACCTCTGGACAGCCGATATCGTCTGTGAATATCGCCAGAGACGGCCGAAAAAAGTCAGTCGTCGTCTGTCCCTCCATCAAAGGAAACCCACATTGATTACTCCAGGAATATCGTCAACCAGTGCCCATTTAGATACCTTGTGCCATCATTGTGCTAGTGGATATTATAGTGGAACTAATCACCATCGGAACTATTATCCAACAACGAGAGCTCCATTGGGAGATCACCTTTTATCACCAGGTATTTATGCACCTCGCATTCGTTATGTGAACTCTCTCTCCGCAACCAAACTTTAGAACCTCTGTATCTTATCCAATTTATTTTTAATTAAATCCTTGTTAATTGTTAAGTGTAGTTTGAGTCACTTCCACATGCTGTCTCTTGATCAGCTGACATTACAAATCTGTCTTTCCATTTATGGAATTGCGCGACGGTGTGACATAGTAATTGCCATCTCAGCTTCCATGTTCTAATAAACATGATGGTGTCAATCCTGACAGGGCACTAAAGAGGTGCTGACCCAAAAGGTTACATTGTCAACTTCTGCATGTGTAGTGATATTGATAATTTGGGGAGAAGCCCAAATATTTTTCAGGGTATTTTCGAAATTTTCCCAGATCGTCCTATACTCATTTTGCATTGTAGTTGAAGTCCATATAACTCTGTCTGGATGTACAGTACCTATGATCGCTGGCAGTTTGACAATCCCCTGTGCTGCACTTTAGACCATGGTTTCTTGATGCTTTCGTTGACCAGGCAGATGTCCACCCAGCTTTCACCTGTGTCCAAGTAGAAAATGGGAAGCGGGCTGGAGTTGACAGAGTGAAGGACCGCCACAGCCATCAGCTCCAACACAGCTCTTCCTCTGGGATCTTCGTAGGGACTATGCCACATCGGCGATTTGGCATTGAAGTCCCCACAGATGAAAACATTTTTGCCATCCAACGTATTGGTGGTTTGCTCCAGGAGATGCAGGGCAGGCTTCAGTGATTCCAATGGGGAGCAATAGAAGGATAAAATATATAGAGTAATGTAAAAGAGCTCCACTGCAATAGTGGTGTAGTACTTATTACAGTGGTTCTGAACCAATCTTGCATTGATGTTTTTATTACATATCACAATCCCTTGGGAGTAATGGAGTTTGGGGAAGCGTGTACATGAAGATTGCCAAAAAAGAGGCACTTTGCTCTGCACCAGATAAGGTTCCTGTATGCAAAGAATATCAATACCCTCCTCCATCGAGACATGGAGGGCCTCAGTGCTGGCAGCTTTAGACCGTTGCAGATTTATGTGAAGAATCCGCAGTTTGCTTGTAAGCTTGGTATCCTTGTGGTCCATATTAGAAGTCTGGAAGGACAGAAAATAGAAGAGAACCCAAAGAAGTCCTAATTATTTATACATTGTGGCGGAGATTTGTCTAATTCAGTATTTAAGACAGGCACATTGATTTGAGAAAGCATTGTGGTTAGTCATTACTTGTTTTCCTTCAGAAAGGGCCTTGTTCATGGCATGACAATTTTCGCATTTCAGTTCCTTCCCTACCCGGTCACAATTCTTGAAGGAGTGTCTATGGGCACAGTGGCTACATCTCTGGCAGTCTGGGCAGGTGCTGGACATATGTCCAGCCCACAGCACTTGTAGCACCTTATGACCGGGATATAATCATCAGCCATGATAGAACATCAATCTATTGATACTCTCTCCAGTTCCATCATGATGTTTCTTAGTTTCAGTGTCACTGAGATAATCAGGTTGGCTTGGAAAAATTGTGATGACCAATGAACATCCATGGCAGGATTTTTTAATTTTCTTTAATAATTCTTTACACAAAGAAAAAGTTACCACTAGTCTCTTAAGCGTATCAGCTGAATAAAAGTTAATGATGAAAAATGCCAAGTGATCGAGTGATTGCACTATATTGTGTTTGAACAAAGGAAAAATCTTTAATATCCTCCAGATTTATTTTATGCACATATTCTAAAAATTTGTTGGGCCATAATTTGGCTAATATATAAAGTAATTTGGAATAAATGTAGGCAATTAAGTTGCCATCTTTCATTAAATTTAATAATTAGGTCTTTTCTTCTAGAATATTCTAAATTAATATAGATATCTGTCCCAGATAGAAGAATTCAATTAGCTAAGTTATAGTCCAATTAATCCTGCATTATCATTTGATTAATTTATAATTTTCGGTTTAGTTTATAGGTAATTATAAAATGCTTATTCAAATCTATTTTATTTTTATCTTTTACTCCTCTTAAAATATTTGACATACTAACCAAACACATATAATTAATGAAAAAAGTTCTAAAAGTTAACAGAAATTTTAAACTATTTGCGTTGTGAAATACTGTATTTATTCTAATAAACAGCGTAACTTCAAGGTGCAAAAAAGTTATAGACACTTCCTCTCATTTGGAGCACTGTCTATAGTAAGCAAACTCTCTATTGGTGGAAGATAACACTTATTTTAAACTGAAAAATTGCACATTCTATTCGGCATCGTTACTCTTACTGTATGTTGAAATAAAGTGTGTTTTGAGTGATGTGTTATTGTATAATAATTGAATAATGATAAATCTAGTAAACTTTTTTCACTTTATTTCATTAATAGTCACACTTATTCCCATAGAATGAAAATAAGTCACCTCTAATAGTAGCCAAATGGTAATAAATGATTTAGTGCAAGATGAAAAATGTTTATAGACAGCATGTTGTTTATTGGAATAAATACTATATTTATATTAAAATGAGCCAAAATATATAAAAATTGATTTGTTAAAATTATTTAAACAAAAAAGATAAAATAAAGTTTTAGAATAATAATACTGGTAATTTTCTACAAATGGAATTTAGTTTTATTTTAAATTATCAGAACAACATAAATATCATTTGATGTTTAAATTATGATTTATTCTTATTTTTTGCTAGTCACATTCTTAAAGGCAAATTAATTGTTTTATTTAAATCCACATCCATGTAATAATATATAATATTTGTAGCATATATTTATAATGTTATCATTATGATTTTAGGTGAATTCATAAGTATGGTCAATGGCGACAATAAAATTACCCGAACAGAAAGTAATTCTTTGTGGAGAGTATGGAGTCGGAAAAACGTCTTTATTTCGAAGATTTGCCACGAATACTTTTGTACCATATTCCGATCGAAGTTCTACTTTGGGCTTAGATCATTACGATAAAATTTTTAAAGTGTCGGGGAGAGAAATTAAGGTAAAATAATTATTTGTATTTTAATTAAAATTTACAGTAGTCTTGTTTATGCAGATTTGTGTTTTCACAGACAGCAAACAATTAGTTGGTCGACAAGGGGTCAGTTCATTAAAAATTAATAGTCCAATGGGTTATGTATATGATAATTTATGGTGCTGTACTGTATGTAGATCATGTGAGGATTTCCAGTAATGATAGCTCACCAGATTTATTTATTAATTATATTAACAAAACAAAAAGAAGAGAGGTCAGTAAGGATCAAACAATCCTTGAAGGGGTTGATAGTCAAAGCTTTGAGATCCAAGTTAGGTTAATCTACTCTAGTCATCAAATCTGTCTGTGCTTCTCCAACTTTAAACATTCCTAGCACAGAGAACTATCAAATGCTATTTACTGTGATGAATACTCTGGTTTGCATGTATTTTGCTCTACATATGCAGGAACTTTGAAATAAATGCTATTAACAGTATAAAATAACAAAATTAATATTTTTTTCTGTTAAAGTACTTTAAATGTATTTAATTGTAAATGATTGTCTAGACCAGGTTTGTCCAACCTTTTATCCTTGTGCGCCAAATTAGAAATTTACGTATATTCAGCGGGCCACAAAAGCATCTTATATAAATATATGCTTTTAAAAAGTTCAAAACATGAATATCAAATTTTAATAAAAAATACACAGTATATAGTTACAAAAAATACTGTATTATTGACAGTAAAACAAATTATACAAAATGAAAACAAATTCAATGTGATTTTTGACATTGCCTTCCTTTTATAATAATGTCATTATCTGCTTTTATGGTACTAGTCTTAATTCTAAGAATGTTAGTTAAATAAGAATCACTCAACCTACTTCTTTCAGCAGTTTTGATGTTTTTCGTGCACAAAAAGAATTGTTCACAACAGTATGTACTACCCCAAATGCATAACAGTTTTCTAGATATAAAAATTTTCTAGTACCAATTACTTCATTATGACATGCTTTACCAAATTAAATGAAAATGTACCAAAAAATTTTAGGGTGCAGTGGGCTGCAGGTTGGCCATTCCTGGTCTAGACACTTGACACATGCAATCACCTAGGGCTGGTTTAAGAGTTAGAGCACAAACTAATGCAAAATTCCATTTTATGTGATATCTGCTTACACAATTTCTGCATAAAACAAGACTATACTGTATTAATTTTTAAAATGTAGAACTGAAAAATAACTTATTTTTATAAGAATCCGATAGTTATCACAAATAAGTCAGCTATTTTTGTGTTATTTAAGAAATACAAAGTAAAAAAAAAGTTTTGAATAATAATGTCTGCTTTTGAATAATTCCATCTTCTAAATTATAAATAGTATTAAATTTAAGATAATGAAAAGTAACATCTAACTAACAATTATACATTATTTAAATCTTGTAATTTCCACTGTTGTTGTAGTAGTAGTATAAAAAATTTTTTTTAGTTCCTGAGATGTTTTAAATTATAACCAGAATTTTGTAACACATCATATTTGAACTAACATGAAAATCATTAACAATTTGAACAAAACAGATTATTTTTAATGTTTTGTGATCTGATTATGGGATAAATTATCTCAAAAATGTTGTTATATCAAATATTTGGACATTAAAAAGTATAAGGTGCTAAAAATATTGATGAAATGATTGTGACAGGGAAGATCAAAATAGTTGGATTACTGATTAGGATTATTACTGGGCTGAAATTTTGAAATTGCAGACTTAGAAACAGATGACAGTGATGTCTGTCTGTGGGTTGTCCCAGTGGGTGGGTGAAACGTCCCCCAGATCCAAAAAAGCTCGCCAAGTTTGATCCAATATCAAGGTGATGCTGACAGTTTTCTTTGATGCTAAGGGTGTTGTTCACCATGAGTACCTCCCCCAAGACTCCACAGTGAACCAGACTTACTACATTGAAGTTCTGAAACGTCTGAGGGATGCCATCTGTCACAAAAGGCCAGAAATGTGGAGGAGTGGTGACTGGTTTCTCCATCGTGACAATGCTCCAGCCAAACACTCGATCGCTGTTCTTCCCCACCCCTTACCTGACCTTGCTCCTTGTGACTTTTTCTTGTTCCCTAAACTCAAAAGATCCTTGAAAGAAGATTTGAGAAGATTCCTGAGATTAAGGCAAATGCAACGAAGGCACTGAAGGACATTACAAAAGAAGCATACCAGGACTGTTTCAACAAGTGGAAACACTATTGGGATAAGTGTGCGCATTGGGAAAGAGAGTACTTTGAAGGAGACCCAGACATGTAACTTCTACATAAAGTACATTTTGTTTTATGATGTCAGTCTGCATATTTTTTGAACAGACTTCGTACATCATTCCATATTCAAGTCAGTATTATTAAAAACTTGTAATTTACAAGTACAGTAGAGCCTCGAAAACTCGGCGTAATGTGGACCGAAGGGTGGCCGAGTTTGTGAAAATGCCAGGTTATCGGGAATGGGGTTAAAAAAAATAAGTATGAGTGTTTCCTCAGAAAATACTGTACTGTACTTGTATATATTGTTTACTTGAGAATAGAACAGAGAATAAATTGCCCAAATACCCTTAAACAAAGGAAAAGTACATCTTTTATGAAGGCATAGGGTCTTTACTACATGAAAATGAAAATTAATGAATACACTGTGTACAGTAATTTACCTGATAAGACAGACCTCAGAAAAATACTTTATGAGGCATAAAGCTGTCTTTATCATGAAAATTAATTAAGGATTTTTTTTGCCCTGCCAGGGTGTGGCCGAGTTATCCGGAGTGCCGGGTTATCGCGTGCCGAATTTTCGAGGCTCTACTGTATTTGTTTGAATACTTGTAGATGATAGTAGAGTCCTAATTATTTAAGGTAAGGAGGACCAAGAGTATCTTGTATAATTAAAAAAAATTGGACTACATGAAACATTTGCTAATAAATGATTTGACTTCTCACAAACATTTAAATTTTGCCATTATAATAAATTCTTTTTAAAGCTCCTGGAGCCCCTTTAGGATACCATGCGTCCCTTGTCTAAGACTCACGAAATAAATTGTAGTATGCTTGTCTTTGTTGAAATTTTCACCTCAAAAATGCAGATTCTAGATTTAGTTGATGTAACTATTGATGCAGATAACTGTAGCTATGGTATCAGAAATATTATATATTACCATTTTATCATTAATTTATTAAATTAGAAAAAATAGACAATCAAAATTTAAAATCTATAACAATAAATTTATTATTTTAATAATAAAAGCATGTGTGTTGCAGAAAAGAAAAATGTTTTAAAATTTTACTTTGATCGATTAAATTAATACAATAGCTAATCTGGAGTTTAAAATATATATAAAAAATTCTTAGTTGCTGTAGACCTTACAGATTATATAGTTTTCTTCCATAAACAATTTTAGTATTATGTAAGTTGTTATGGATTAAATAGTTCAATAAGGAAATTTATAATTTTCACCAAATACAAAACTACCTGAATGAAATGGAAATATCATAAAATTTTTATTACAATTCACCATATTAGTTATAACTTAAAAACTGGCATATCTTGGAGTCAAGACTTGGAATGCAGACAATTCTCATTTGAAAAAATATAGTAAGATTTATAATGAAAAAATTCGGCAACTATAAGTTCTTAAAAATAAAACTTTTATGCATTCATTTTCACAAAAATTAATCTAAGTTTTTTTTAATTTCACAGTTGCAGTTATGGGATACAGGTGGCATGGAACGAGTTGCATCCATCACTAGTAGTTATTATAAATTTGCAGAAGCTGCAATTCTAGTATTCAGCTTTGATAATCCTGATTCATTCAATATTCTCTCTCAGCATCTTTTGGATATCGTTAGCTATGCCGAAAATGCAAAAATTTTTTTATGTGGAAATAAAATAGATTTGGTACATCATATGGATATAACTGATTCAGATATAGAAGCTTTTTGTGAACAGTGTCATAATTTGATCAGTGGTGTGTATAAGACGTCGTGCAAGACGGGTGCTGGAATAGAAGAAATGTTCACAGATATTGCTCGTCAGTTGGTGCTCACTTGTCGTGTAAAAGATATGGAAGATGTAGCTAAAGATTCTTTCAAGGTCACCGCTCAAGACGAACCCCAAGAATCTTGTTCATGCTAGTCATTTTATTCAAAATATAAGAAATCATAGCTTTAGTAAATTTGTTTATTACAAAGAATTTTTTAAATTATGTACAGATTTTTAAGATTTCTGTACATACTGTAAAGTACTATGTTTTGTATATTGCTGCAGATCTCTAATTATCCATGATTTACATTTTGAAAATTAAAAACAAAAAAACTTGTAGTGCTATTGAAGTAGTAATAATTGTTTTGCTGTTAATTTCTGCTTAATAATGTTTGAGTAAACAAGACTTATCTAGAGAATAAGTTAGAAAATATACAAAACATGATACTGATATTGGAAATCAAACAGAAAATTATTTGAATTAATTGCAATTTTTGCAAAATGTTCCTAATTTGACTGATTAATTTATCATAGATAATCTGTTAATTATAATTTCAAGCTGCAGTTTGAAATGATTTCAATATATTTAATTAAATGTTAAATATCCAAGATTTAAGAAAGTAAATTAGTATTAAAAAAGATTAATGATATTTTACATTAATCTTGATATCTGAATAAACTCATTTCCATATAGATAGATATCAATATATAGAAATTGCCGAAATATTTTTTTAAAGTAAAGACGAAAAATGAAATTAGCATATATTTGATTTTACTACAATCACAACATTGTTCTACTTAGGTAAGGGTGCATTGAGCTTGAATTTTACTAGAAATTATTATTTTTAATGTTTTTATGTGAAGTACAGTATTGTAAAGTATAAACTAAATGTAAAAAAATTTCTTCCATTAATGTATTTTTCTCTAAATGTTAAAGTGATGTATGAGATTAAAATTTATTAATACATTTGCATTTATAACCATGAAGAAAATGTCTTTTCATTTTTTAATATCAATGTGTACAAATTATTTAAATGACATGAAGATTGGTGAAAGCAAATGTAATTTACTTAAATAATTTTTTTTACTAGAATTAAACCTATTTAGAATTATTTAATAATAATTGTTTTTAACTATCTGGAGGCTTTTTATGACTATCAAGATATTCTCTAACTTTTCTCCATATTTCTCCTGGTTCATCCACACGAGGTATCTAATTAAAAATAGATTTAGAAAGTCAGGTTTTTACACAAAATAACAATTATTATTTAAAAGATTTATTTTTAAATTTACTTGATCATGTATAAAAATAAACACCATACAAGAAACTTGGAGAAAAAATACCAAAATTAGTACAAATGACACTTACAGAACATCTCAATGTAATTCTTAGAACTTGAAGGATAAAAATCCCAAAATGCAAGTAATATCCAATAGTGTCACAATATGTGTTTGTGTCTAGTATCTGTTTTATAGATGATCAAGTATATTTAAAATGTTAAACATTTTTACCTCATAATTTTGGCATGCATATATTCCTGCATAAAGACCAATTCCAAATGAAATCTGTAAAAAGAAAATGTTGTTATCTTATTTACTATGAAAAATTATAATTGATTTCATTATACGTTTCATTCTTCAAATTACATAATTATTCATTGGTTTAATATAACAGAAGTCTTCATGATTCATCTATTCGACATAATTCATCAGACTTCTCTTAAAATTTTAAATAGAATTTTTAAATATCATGTACTCATCTTACATAATATATTTGCAAATGCATCCATTATCATAAATAAGAATATTAAATTTATCGTAATTATAGAATATTTTTATGTCTATCAAATATTCACATGCAACTACCATGATAGGAACAAATTTTTAAAAGAATTCACATCTAAGTGAAGCAAAATTAGAATCACAATATTTACATTCTCAAATAGTATTTTAATTATTTTTTCAATATCATTTTAAGTTAAAGAAAGCAAACTTTGAATACTGTATTTACTTCAATAATTTATGCTAGTAAGTAGAACCCCAATCAACAGAGGTTCCATATTATTCAAAGCATTTAAGTGACTACTACTGTATAATTCATAAAATAAAGTATTAAAAAAATTATTTTTTAATATGCAATATATTGTTTTTGTTACCTTTTATTGTTTAATTTCAATATGAGACAAACCATTTATATTAAAACATAATATACATTTTTATTAAAACTGTTGTATTTTAGTTATGTGATTAATAAGTAATAAAATCTTAATATGATGTCAAAGCAGGTGAAACTGAAGAGGGACTTGAACCCAAAATGCATCTTTGACAAAACTACAGGACAATAAAGTAACTTCTTAAAAAGTGAGTGACTTCTTGTATGATTAGATCCCTTAAGAGCATCACAATATTTCTGTATACACTTAATTTATATATATAATGTGTATTAGCTGTACAATAAATTATATATATCAGAAAACATTTTTACGATTAAAGTCACAAAAATATTTTGAAAAGGCTTAAAATGACACCATATAAATCTTTTAATACTTATTTGTAATTTTTAATCCAAAACAGCTGTGGCTGTCTGTTTTATCTGAAATAGCCTCAGTCCATATTACCCAAATAATTGGAGTTCTACTGTATTTTTTAAATTAAAATACAGTAGAGCGTCGATTTTCCGAATCAATTGAGAACTAGGGTTGTCCGGATAACTGATATTTCAGATAACTGATTTACGTACGAAAAAATAGTTTAACGTATCCGACGTCGAAATTTTTCTCCGTTGCGTGTCGCTTTGCGTTGAATTTTCATCGATGTTAAGCCTAACGAAGACTATTGTATCGTTAAAAATTATTTTTTTATTTTGTACAAACAAAATAAATATATTTAAAAATATAAAAATAATAAAAAATTATACTTCAGATGTTAATTTAGTATCAAAAACGTAAAATATTTGAGTAACCCAAGACATAGCCAAAGATTGAAGCGCCACAGCACTGGCGAAAATTTAAATTTGCCGACTGGAATTCTTTCGGATGATTGATGTTTCAAATGATTGACTTTCGGAAAATCGACGCTCTACTGTATATATCTTTTGCAAAGATTTCAAGCAGATTATAAAACATATAATTTATCATTATCTGTTGTGTAAACAAAATAACCTTTCTTTTGTACTCTTTTATATTAAAATTGACAACTGTAAGCAGACAATATAAGAAAATACCATGAAATTCCAGCAAAGCATATTTAATCCATACTAACAGTAACTAATGGAACATAATTCAAACAGTTGTATTTTTCTGTCCTACATATGAAGGAATTCTATATTTTAAGTTTTATATAGAAAACAAAACAATCTCAATGTATTTCTATGTTGAATGAATAAAGCATTATTCCATTGATTATTATAAAAAAGATCATATGATGTGATCTTTAGTTCAACTGACAAAGTTCAGTTCAGTTCAGTTCAGTTCTATGATTATATTGTTAAAATATGAATTATTAGTGAACTGTTTCAATAATCATATAACAACATTAAGTTGTAGTATAATAGAATGTTGATTATCTGAAATAAACAGGGCAGGGCAATTTCCAGATAACCAATCACACTTGGCAGGCAAAGAATAAAAAGATAATATTTATAGTTTATTTGACATATTTAATTTTAATTCTAGTTTAAAGGATAGAAATTTAATGCATTAGAAGACTTATGTGAGAATATGGGTGAGGGTTAGCCCTCTAGTCGTAAGACCCACTCACTTGGTCACTGGATGGCTTAATAGGAGCATCTTAAAACAGTCGAGTAGAGAGGTTGCGAAAACATCAGTAGGGTGACCGTTATTCTGAGAAGGACATGTTAATAGAACAAGAACTTTAATAAAACAATAAAGCAGATATACAAACTAGCTATGGTTACAATTATAGGATAGTATAAGCATACACCCAAGATTCGATATCTACTGACTCTATTCTAAATCCAGGTCGCCAAGAGAGAGTTTACAACACATAATTAATTATCATACCTCTGTCGTATCCGGTGATAGAATATCCGTCGAGGCTCAGGACAATATTTGCACATAGCATAAAATTTATAAGGATGATCCTTTGAGGATTATATGGCAAGACAACTCCCTACGGTCATTTCTCGAGTATGTTTGCCCGGAAGGTCAGATGTGCGACTGTTATACACCCATCTAGTGTGAGAATTTGGTCTCATGACCACCTGCAAATATGTCATCAACAGACAAGGAAGTTTAAACAAAATCGACTCATAGGTCTCTTATTTCTTCCATTTGGTTTTAAATTCTCTTTATGGATGTCATTAACAAACAACTTTCTCATGATTAACAACTGGTTGTTATATTAAACAATCAGTTGTTAATCGTGAGAAAGTTGTTAGTATGTTTCCAAACCATTTTCCAGTCAATGTGAGGGGGAAGGGACTTGTTGTGAAAAACCCCTCTTTAACATGAGTATCTTAGTCGATTCTTTACTGTTAAAACGAACACCTGCTTATTTGTTTTCTAATTACTGAATGGATGAGTTTCTAAATTAACGTGTTTTTTGTTAAAATTTTACAAGAGAATAGCTCGCGGATCCTCACACTTATTAATCCTGCAATTCTACTTGTACCGTAATAAATAAAACTTAACACTAGAGTTTGATAATGAGAACTCAATAGCAAACCTACAGAATATCACCAATAATCATTATTACATAAAAACTTTGTAATTTCTACAGTTTAGAATGCTCTCAAGTCAATTAAATCAATTTTTGGATAATCAATATTCTACTGTAATTAGATGTAAGACATAAGCAACAAAGCTAAAAAAAAGAACATTAAAATATATACTAGCTATAACAGTAAATATACTTTTGTACACATCCAATTTTACTCTGTACAGAAGAAATACAGTAATACCTCGACTTATGCTACCCTGACTTACACGAAACCGGAGTTACGCGATTTTCAAATCTCATCGATTTGTCTTTTGTTTGAGTGCCACGCAACTCACTCCCCTCACATTATTGTTCAGCTTACATGTTCGGACGTGTCACGTGGAATCGACACATAGCTACAATTTATTTTGTGTTATTTATTTCTGTGTTTGTTATATCTACGGAGACTCGAGAGACTCTATGTGGTGATTTCTTGTAACCGTGAACAAATCAAAAGATGAGATAAGATTAACGAGAACATTTATTAGCTTACATACATCCAACTTGGATTTTACAGAGATTGCAAAATTACATGAATTCGACTTAGGCGGTCATTGTTCGGTACCACCTATCACGTAAGTTCGGGGTATTACTGCAGTTAAAAAATTTTGTATACTTCTTTTTTCTGTCATAATGATATTATATCAAAATTTCTGGGGTATTTGTTGTTGTGATTAATAAGACCAATACATTTTTTTGACTTTTAGAAGTTTTTGGAAAATGTTTGAATATGCAAAAACTCTAGAAATGGTTCATTATTTTACATATCACCTAAAAAGTTAATTTCATACATAAATTTCCAATAAATTTACAATTTGAAATACACCCTATCGTTTTTAAATTAACATACAATTAGAAATTTACTTTAAATATCTTAAATATGTTTCATATAATACAATGAAACATTTAAGATATTTTAATACTTTAAATAAGCAGGGAATATAACATTTAAAAACAGAAAAGATTTTTATATATTTATTCAGAATTTCTATATTTTTATTCTCTAAGAATTATGAAATAATAAAGGATGAAAGATAAAATTTAAACAATATTTTCCTTTCTAGACAATTTATATAGTACAAATAAATATTTAATGTGAAAAATTAGAACCTAAACTTAATATTTAATTTTTATATACATCTATTTTATTACTCATAATTGTAAAAATTTTAGTATTTGATAATATATTTAAATTTATTATGTATAGTTGAGAGATGATTAAGGAATTCTGGAAGTGATAGTGCAACTATTATATTTATTGCATATTTATAAACACAATCATTCATTTATCATTTACATACCAAATTATTAATTGAGAAATACTATTTTTCAAATTTGTCAGCATTATTGATATAGTAAGAAGATAAAGTATGAAGAGATGAAATTAGACTTTTTAATATGATTGATTAAAATTTTGATTTTAATAATAAAGGCAAAATTTAAATTTGAAATAAAGAATCAAAGTATAACAATAAAATTAAAATTTTCTAACAATTTAAAAAATCTAGTATACCTAATAAACAATTTTTTCATATTACTTTCTAATAAAAATTAAGTTAAAAATATTTTTATGGTGAATACATCATATCACAGATATTTTAAAGCTAGTCAAACTGTTTTCGGAGTACAGGGGATTCTCGTTTAATGTGGCTAACTAGGACCAAAAAGTTGCCATTTTATAAAGCAGGGATTTATTTGGGATTTCAATTATATAATAATAAATATTTTACATACGTGTAAGTAGGGATAATAAAGATTTCTTTCACATTTTTCATTTGGTTTTGTTGTATTGAATATCAGAAATTATTTATAACTGAATTTTAGAAGGGCCTGGTTGTGATTCTTCA